TAATCTAATAGATATAACAACACACTAAACTACATGTAGTGAATGGAAGTCCCTAAAGAGTGAGATATATCATTTCCTTATCATCATGGTTGAGTTTCACATGCGCTGTACTGATCACCGTCAATCAAGGCTCAACATAACTGTCCGACCTGCAGCCTCTCCCGCTCCTCTGTGTCTGCAGACCGCCTCCACACACGCGCGCGCGCACACACGGATCGAAGTCAGCCAACTGATCAGCGGACATTGACGACGACTACGCTGGTTACTGTATGTATGTGGTGCAATAAAGACTTAGCCAATTCTTTACCAACACACCGTTTAATAAGCATAAACATGCAAAACACGATGTTTTAATCTGCTCAGTCTCTCATCCACTGCAGCTGTGTTTTGGTTTTACACAAGCACAGCGCTAGTTCAGACAAGAGCTTATTTTTACAAACAAGCTATAGTGAAAGCTCTCTGTCTTTAGTAACTGTTCAGCTTAGTTTGCCACTTACATTAAAATAAACTCAGTTGGTGGAAATAGACCAGCCCTCCGCTCTACAGAGGGAGGAGGACAGGAGGGACTGAGTTGTTCATTCTTTCTAAACTTCACTCAGTATGTTGTCTCAGGAATAGGATTTTATTTTACTGACATGTTAGATTTGTTTCCAGTGAGCTATAAGTGACTTTGCTGTTGTAAATCCTGCTGCTCTAGAAACAACATTTAGTTAATAAAAAATGTTAAATTATTTTTTTAATAAAATATGCAATTATTTAGTAATAAATAGGACTGATAAGGGCATTGATAAAGAACTTAACCAATAAGGATTACCAATACAAGTGTGTCAATAAAACAATTTAATAATGCATTGCATTTAAACAGAACTTTTCATTCACTAAAAGCGATAACAGTAGCTTACTGGTCCTACCAGGCTGGACACGCAGTCTGCCTAAATATGTATCCCCCTTTATAATGCACAGATGATGGCCTACTATCAAGAATTTAATTTTGTGTATACTTCACATCAGGACTAATAACAGGGGTGAATATGGAGAAGTTTGTTGTTTCCTAACAAAAGTTATAGTGGGATACAAAATACAAACTGGGAAGTGTTGCATCAAAGAATATACTATAGCTTGAGCTAAAGTTAACAGGAATGGGGTTTTTTTGTATACTGTAATTTAATAAAACTATAACTAAATTACTGAGAAGATCCTGTTACTAAAACATTACATTATATACTAAACAAGACATTTTGAAAGCTTGATCATTGCCTTTGTCTCTTTTGTCCCGGATGGAATGGGCCCCTCTGACAAAACAACTGGCCCCAGCCTGGCCCCCTTAATAAAACTGGTCTAGAACCGCCACTGCTCCTCTGTCTATCAGGTGATCAACCTCACCACAAATCCACACAAGTTAATTTCAGCGCCTCTGATAAAGTGCAGCTCACAGCTTCAGGTGGAGCAGAGGGGACACCGAGCTACAGCTTTATCATCTTATTCTCCGCTAATTTGCAGGAGAATAAATAATAACAATAATCTCTCTCACTCGCTCGCTCCCGCGCACGTAACGTTAGTTAAGCATGTAAAGTTCAATTTGCTTTCATAAAGTGGTGGGGACTTATCCACCGCGTCCCCAGTGACACATATAGCTCACATCAGCTAGGACCATGCAAGCACATGAGAAAGTTAGCTAGCTAGCCATGCAGACACCTGGATCAGAACAGGTCCAATCTACCAACCTCACCCTATTTAAACAGAGGGTAACAACATATAGTGATTTACATCGTCTCTGACTGTTTACAGGCAACCGCCTTAATGGAAAGAAACTATGATGTCTCAGTGACAGCTCCGGTTTTTATGCATAGCTCACGCAACTGGCGTATGCCATTGGCGTACATACATAACAGAATCAGCACAGTCTCGTTATATGAGGAGTTTACAACATGAGGTTAAAAAGGAGAGAGAAATCTCAAGGCCCTCTGGCGGCCAAGGCCCGGGTCAATTGCCCATCTTTGCTCTGAAGTAATGTGCCATGTGTTTATGGCCATACAAGGCAACCTACTTAATATGTAAATTCTTCATAAAAGTGGAGGCGCATTCCTTGGTTTCCACTCTGCTGCCATGGAGTGTAGCTTTAATGTCTGCAGATGACATTACCTAAAGTTGATGTAGCTTACATATGAGTAGGCTTAAGACTTTCCTCTTAGGGCTGGCTAAGGTGAGTCCTGAACCATCCCTTAGTTATGCTGCTATAGGCCTAGACTGCCGGGGGATTTCCTATGATGCACTGAGCTCCTCTCTCCTCTACTTTCTCTCCCTCTGTATGCAACCTCATCCCATTATTGCATGTTACTAACACAACTTCTCCCCTTTCCGGTAGTCTTGTGCTTTCTCGTCCCTCTCCTCTCTCCTCCTATCACTTCCTGCAGGAGTTTCTGGCTCTGGAGCTGTGGAGTCTGGATCTGTGGTTGCGGGTCACCTGCTGCCCCCGTGTTCCTGCTCAACACCCTCTGCTGCAACGACTATTGTTACTAGTCCTATTGTTATTATTGTTATTATAATCATTAACATTACGACTGTTATCATTAACACTACAATAAATATCTGTACCATTTTTCATTTAGTCTATAGCAACATCACCTTTACTGTCTGTACCTCTGTGTGTGTATATTGTGTAGGCTGCCTCCCTCCCTCTCTTTTTCTCTCTGTTCCTCTCTCTCTCTCTCTCTCTCTGTTCCTCTCTCTCTCTGTTCCCCTCTCTCTCTCTCTCTGTTCCTCTCTCTCTCTCTCTCTGTTCCTCTCTCTCTCTCTCTCACCCCCAACCGGTCAAGGCAGATGGCCGCCCACCCTGAGCCATGGTTCTGCTCGAGGTTTCTGCCTCTTAAAAGGAAGTTTTTCCTTGCCTCTGTTGCCTAGTGCTTGCTCTTGGTGGGAACTGTTGGGCTTCTGTAAATAACATCATAGAGTACGGTCTAGACCTGCTCTTTTATGAAAAGCGCTGTGAGATAACTGTTGTTGTGATTTGGCGCTATATAAATAAAATTGAATTTAATTGAAATTGAATATTAGCCACATAGCTTAATGTGGCCTGTCATGTCATTGTTTATCACAGGTGCGTGTGAGGGGGGGCAGGGAGGGGTGACAGCAGTTAATCGTAAATTTTTTTAATTAGCAATGAGTCACGTTATTGGTTGCTTATGAAGCAGTAAGTTTTAAATCCAATCAAAGTTAAGATGAAACAAATAAATCGGACAGTGCACAGGCAATTTATTGATATTCTGACAGTTGTGGTCCTGACTGGTCTTGAAGAAAAATCCCAAATCCACTATGTTTGAGACAGAGACAAGACTGTGTACAGATGCGGTCAATTCCAAGACGAGACCCTGACCTTCAAAAACAGATCTTAAGACCGGTCTCTAGTCAAATCTGTTAAAGATCATATGCAGGTCATCAGCAAGGTCTTCGTTGCTGGTCTAGTTTTTATGATTACGAGTGTGTGTCCTTTGACAGTGAGTAGATCAGGAATGCAGCCTGAAACAATTTCATGCTGGAAAAAACAAACAAACAAACAAAAAAACAAAGGAAACAGTGTGTTCACTTTCATGTGAGGCAGTCTTTCATTCATATGAAATGAGAAGTAGGACAAACAATTTTCAAATCTTTGTGTCAGCAGTGTGAATTTAGCAAGGATAAAATTTGCCATTTTGATCTGCAATGTGCAAAGAGCAGAAAAATACATCCAGTAAATCCTTCAGAACAACAGCACACATTCTACTGAAATGTTTCCATAGAGAACATGCTGTCGCAGAGACAGAAAGCCACAGCAGAGAGTGGAGTGCAAAAGTGATCACATCCTCTTGGTGGTTTTCACACTACAGCACTCCGGCGTTATTCAGGAAGCTGTGAAATATCCTCTAGAGATCCTCTATGAGACACATCATTATCTGCTTATGTTTTTCTTGGTATTGCTGGTGTCGAGGTCTCTCTCCAGTCTTTGCTTATGTCTCTGCTTCGCCTATGTGATGCCTGGCGGTTTTGTACTGGACCAATTTCAAAAATCGTTGTCCCAATTAGTGACATGAACACAAAAACAAATATTGTTACCCTTTAAAATCATCAGTTTGCCCTTTTGACTTTTTACAACAGGGTGTCACATATTTAAAATAAATACATTCAATTAATCACTGATGCTTATATACAGAAGGTGTGCGTGTATGTATGCAGTCTACCAGCAGTGCTCAGGAAGTGGTCTAGTAGTGAAGATGACACATTTCCTGACACAGACTTGGTAAAGAAGTCATTTAATGCACATAAGGCGCACATGATTCTCTGACTTTACACCCTGGTGACTGTTTCTGTGATTCATATTCAACTGATATCGCCGATCTGCTTTCAGTCAAGTCGCCAACTGCCCTTTACACACTAGATGTTAGTTTGTGCCATCCTGCTGTTTGATCTCTGGTCAGGATCTGACGCAGGTAGAAATCTCAGCAAATCATTGGTCTATGCAAATGGCCTCATATGCTTTCTTGAAACAAAAACTACTTTCATCATTAACTACACATAGCACTTTTCACCTCTAATGGCATAAGCATGATGGAGGTCGAGGGGGTGCACACACTGCTTTTCTTCAGACAGGAATCCAGGTGACTTGCTAATGGCGTCATCTCTGCTTGTGTGAATTTAAAAGCTTCTGGAATGAGCATATTGTTTGCTGCAGGCACATTTGTTTGATAAGTTTACTTCCTTGTCATCCCATGTATAAAGAAACAAATGTATACCACGCGGCTGACTTATGCTTCATACATGCTAAACATCGACCAAACTGAAAATGTATTTTCACAGTACAGTGAGACATCAGTCTAAGCTGAGTAGACTGTAGAATGTGAGTAAAGTTGTTTTCTGTGTTTAACAGTAAAGGTTTTATTTCAATACCACATGCTCTGATTTAAAAAACAGCTCATGGCGTCCTCTTTGGAAAGTTAAGGACTTAAAATATCCTGTATGTGGGACAATTTTACTGATAATGACATATCACATTTTTATTTATTAGGTACAGGGAGGGTACAGTTTTTAGTATTATTTATTAACTTGACAATTTTCCACATTTCAGATTTCATTTTTTTTTTCTGAAATTTGGTTCAGACGTACCCCACAGGATGAATTGTTACAACTTGGTTATTTCTTAACTTTTTTATTTAGTGCCATCATTAGGTCAGGACATCAGTCTCAGCTGTACGCTGTGGCTCAGGCGTTAGAGTGGGTCGTCCATTAATTAAGGCTGGCGGTCCGTCCACATGTCAAAGTGTCCTTGGGCAAGTCAATGAAACCCAAATTGCTCCCGATGGTCAGGCCACCACCTTGCATGGAACTCTAGCTCGCTGCCATCTGTTTGTGAGTGTGTCAATGAGAGGTTAATTGGGATGCGCTTTATAAATGTGTTAGTGCTAATTAGAACATGTTAGCATGCTAACACATAGACTGAACTAAAAAAAAAACTCAAAGCAACACTAAGTACAGCTTCACAGCTTCACAGCTCCACAGCGTGGCAGTAGAATCTTAAGGGCACCCAGTGGCATTTGGTGTGGTGATGGTACAGTGGATAAGACGCATGCCTTGGGTGTGAGAGACCCGGGTTCAGCTCCCCACTATGACACTAATGTGTCCCTGAGCAAGACAAAGTATCAGCTAAATTTCATGACACACATGAAAACATTGTTTTCTATGAAAGCCTGCACACCAGCAGCATCTTAGTGTGAGTCATTGGTTTGATATCCTCTCCTATTTCTTAGTTTTGACACATCAGCTCTTCAGAAATGTTTATTATACTGACTCCCTAGATCAACACATAAATACTTTCACTACTTCTTCTGTATGCATGGAGCATCTGGTGTGTGCTATGGATGTCAACTGTTGCACATGCAGTGAAAGTAGAAAAAGTTGAACATGGTTTTGGTCATAGTTTGGTGGAATCTGAAGACATTATGGATTCAGTTTGTATTTTCTTCAGTTTCTTTCTTCTTCAGTCAGCTGCAACTTGTGATCAACTATGTCCAATTAAACGCAAAGTGAATTTTTTCCGTATTTATTCTTTCTGGGTAATTTCACTGACAGCCGTTCTCTTTTTCAGGAACACCTGCACACATTCACACCTGGGAGCTGGGGAATGGTCACAGAAGCTGCCCCAGGTGCTGTTCTTTCACTTTTCCCATCAGATCTGGCAGGTCTGGACCAAACTAAAACCTCAGATCACACTTCTCTAACTTTTATGAAACCACTTCTATCACAAAGATATAATGTATCATGTGATGATGGTGATGCTGAAGACTGGAATCATGATCTTGATACAGCTCATCCCCCTTATTGTCCACATACCTCCATATTAAAAAAATTGGTTTTCAGCATTTCTATGTCAAGGAGCAGTTTTATGGCAAGGCCGAATGTTCTACTTGATATTTAAGCTAATAAGTTGTCCTTTAAAAGCAAAATCCAATCTTGCACCTGTCACTTGGCTCTGTGGATAAACGCCAGACCTGCACTATGTGCAGTTTACTGATATTATCAGTTAGAATCTATCAGTAAACCAGTCTAACTGTAACACAGACAATCCCGTGAGACGTGATAAAACTTCCTCAAAGCGAAATCACACCATCATCTACAAAATGAAGAACAGCAGGGTTGTCATCAGCAGGCTCGCTTGACTTGACTGAAGTCATCCTCATCATCTCCTTGTCGGTCTCGTGGCAGTTCTCCACATACCAGTGCAAGGTGCTATAGTAGTGGTCTTTGGTGCTGAACTTGTAGAGGGAGGAGATCTTCTTCCAGTCCTTGTTGGAAGGAGTGATGATGTTTTCAGGCGGTGTCTGTTTGAAGAAGCTCTTCAGGTTTCTCTCAGCAAGCTCTTTGGCATGTTTAGTAATGTATGAATCAAACATGTTCCCCTCCTCCTGAGCATACGCCCTCCAGAACTTGAGCTGCAGGTAGCTGATGGGGGAGGCACACCGAGCCACACATATTAGCAGCAGGTTGATCAACATGACAGAGGAGATGACCAGCCAACCCAGTATCTGGTGTCACACACAGGTACAGATATAGGAGATGTTAAAATCTGTTCCAACACTTACATATTTGTAACACAGTGGTTGGCGAAATGAAAATAATATGAAATTGTACAATAACAACATAACTATGTTTTATGCAGCTTTGCATGTTCATGGCTACAACTGACAAAGAGAAGTAACAGAAAACTGTCTGAATTACAAAACTGAAGATTATTATTTTTATTATTATAAGTTTACTTGATAGGGACAGATGTTATAAATATATATAATTGTACAACAATTTTCCAATGCACAACATAACAGCATTTATAGCTATTGCTAATTTCCAATGCCCTAGAAGGGCTTTTAACATTACATTTACAACAAACATTAAGCATAGTAACAGTAAAACAATTGAGCACATACATGTATACCACCCACCGATCCCTCCCTCCACCCCCCCATCCCTACACATGACTACAGGACTGATTACCTTTTAAAAACTTCTTCAGTTTAGTTTGAAATTGTTGATGATTTTGTTCTGTTTTTTGCTCAATAGGCAGCTTGTTCCAGATCTTAGCTCCCTTGACTGAAAAGGAAGTCTGGCCGAAGGATGTTTTCCTATAAGATATTTTGCAATTCCTGTAATTGTATTTCTGGTTGACAATCCTTTTTTGTTTAAGATTTTTAGTGCACGGTTGTATAATCCTTCCAGCGGTTTAATCCCGCCTATACCTGCCTGTGACCATGAGGTAACACAGTAACCCAAGTGTGAGAAAATTACTGTGTGAACAAATGTTTTGGCTGCATCAAATGTTAATGTTAAGATCTGTAAGGACATGTCAGCATGTCACTCCTGAGTGTTCGTCCCTGACTACACTAAAGGTTTTTCCTTACGTTCCATAGACGCACACTCTTTTACAGTGCAGGTATGGATGTAACATGGGGAGAGTTGTAACAACACCAATTCCACCATTTAGAGATAAGATAGGACTGAAAAATGATTTTGACCTAAGAAAGATGTTTAGATGTTTATTTGTTTAGAACCTATACTGTATACAAGTATGCCTTATATTAGATTTTAATTGTAGTTTTTTTGGCAACGAGATACATTTTTTCCCTCCCTAATTTCAAACAACTATGCTAATATAGCTAGATAAACAATGGCTGACAGGGGTGGGGTTGGTTGTAACATTTCTGTAAGGACTTTATTGATTTTAATATTTTACAGAGTTCCCTATGCAGTCCCTGGCCCACCAAGCCTGCACTCCAGGGTTACTAGCATTCATTGTTCAGCAGTGTGACCAGTGCTTGAAGTGGTGCCAGTACTCCCCATCAGAGTTGGGCAATTATCAATCAATCAAGTTTCTGTAATTGAGTAGTTTTTTTGTGTACTTGTACTTATTGAAATAGTTTTTATAAGAACGTGTAGTTCGCACCATGCTTGAACCACAGTTGGTAAAAGAAGTTTTCATAGTTTGGTAAGAGGCTTTGCTCAAATTAGCAAAAAAGACATCGGTGCATGTTGGGTGGCACTAGCAACCTGGTAACTAGTTATTTATGCTTAGGCCTATGTTTATTATAAATTAGCCCATTAAAATAACCACCTGTTTGTATGTGCTCCGATCGTCACCGATCATAATCAGCCGATAATGGCTTTAACTAGTTTGATCGGTGGTCGCTAAAAAGGCCGATCAGATGATGCAGTACTCGCCAGACAAATTTTCAGCGGCAGCTTAAATGTTTCACTACGCTGTCTGAGCGTTTTTCAAAGCTAGCTAGCACCAAAGTCCTTCTCAGACAAGAAGGGATTAATGCGCCCACATTATCATTTACAATTAGAGTTGAGCAGCAATCAGACAAGTGGAGCAACACGCAGGAGCGATCATGTGAAACTGTCGCAGCTGTGCTCATCTCACTCACTCAACTGGAGTTTAACACACATCAGGCAGAGAGAGACTGATCCTTCAGTGTGAGTTTCCTGATGCAAAGAGCGGTCAGCTGACTGCCTCTCTCTGTTTTCGTTACAAAAACGGAGACCTTTTGCTACGTTTTCGCCTCCCGTCCAGATTAAAACGGTGAATCAGAAGATGTTTGTTTGAAAACGCTGCTGACCCGATGGACAAAACAGAGGACTTTATAAAACGATAACACACACTCACATTTAGCTTTGTGAGTTGGTCTTCGTTGCCGGTCAATGCAAAAAAAAGAAAGAAAAAAGCCTGGTGTGGTTCTTGGTCTGTATTAATTTCTTCTTTTATTCTTTAAATCGTCTGCTACTGCAGAGTAGACCATCTGCTTCATGTTTACACTGGCAGGCGCATGCCCAGTGTAGCTACCTGAACACACTAGATGTGTGTTTTCAGTCGTTTTAATATAGACAGAGATCAACTCTGATGCGCAGCTGAAACGCTGCTGTGGACGGAGAAGATCGTTTTCGTTATAAAACTGTTTTAAAAACGTAGCAGTGTGGATGTAGCCTCACATTACCCCACTCCTCTCTCTACTCCTCTCATGTCAACCCTCCCGTTTTCCCCGAGATTCTCCCGTATTTTTCTGTTCTCACCTGGTATCCACCCGTTAAATGTTTCCCCGTAAATCTCCCGTATTTTCAACCTTTATGAAATCAAATAAAAACCTTGTTTGCTATTCTCTCCTCTGGTAAAGTTGGTGGCAGCATGTCAGATATGTAGACTGTGCTTCCTGCAAGGATTAAAAATGAAAACAATCCACTGAAATGATATAAGGCCTATAGCCTAATGATGGCAAACCATATGAAATTAGAATGAATATAGTAGCCTATGTAATATTAACAATTGACTGTATAATATGGAATTTACATTGAAGCCTGTTTTTATTTATTTAAATTTTCCTTATTTTCAAATCTCACTGAAAGCAGTTGTGACTCCTCTCTGTAGCCCTTCTCTCTCTCTCTACTCCTCTCTCTACCCCTAAAACCCACAGAACCTGCCTGAGCTTTCTAGAACAAAAAGCAGCTACTTCAGAGTTTATCATCGACTCATGATGCCTGTGCTCCTTTATCTCCTAAATATTTTGGCTACAGCAGTTTTTATGGTTGTAGTAAATTTATAAAGATGCTTTTAAAGAAGTTTTTGTAGTTTATTCCACAGTAAAGCTATATTTGTTAAGCTATAAGATGTTCACAGTAACCAGGCAAAGGATGCTATGGTTTAAGTCTCTAACATGGATTGAGCGGAATTTGTTGCCCATGTTTCCTGGCAATAAAATAAACAATTGTCATTTCATGATACTTTATCATCTGTTAACTTTAACACTTAATAAATTGTTTTTAGGACCAGTTAAATAAATATACAGTATACTGTATAATGCTACATGATAAATAAAAGGCTCCAAATAGACCCAGTGATCGGTGATCGGTATCGGCCAATACTGCTTTCGGCAATCGGTGATCGGTGATCGGCCCAAAAAATCCTGATCCTTACTTTTACTGGAGTAGATTTTGATACCAGTAACTTTACTAGTTAAGTAAAAGTTCATGAAAGTTTTACCTAAGTAGAATATTTTAGTACTCTTTCCACTTCTGCCATTTACATGTTGTTCACATGTTGGCTTGTGTATGGCACCTGATCTTTTCCCTACTCAGTCTCCGCTGGTGGAGAGGGCAGAAAAAAGGACTGACAACTTGTGAGAAGTTCACAAGAAAAAGTCAAGGTATGCCAAAGAGTTTTGTTAGACTTAAAGATGTAAAAAGATTTTCTTTAGTTAGGTTAAGTAAGTTTATTCTAATAGACATATTCACACACACACACACACACGCAGACAGTCAGACATAGTCTGTTACAGACAGACAAACATTGTTTCAATAGATTTGAATATTATATTATATTTGAATATAATATAGATAATATTTTTGAAGCATATCATATGGTGTGGCATCTGTTTTTGCTTATTTTGTCTAATTGTTACCCCAGTAGTGGGCTGGGTTGTAACAAAGCAACACCATTTATTTAACGTCAACTCACTCAACTCAATTCTTGTAGAGGATTACATTGGTGCCATTTGTAGTAAACAAATGTGGGTACTTTGTTTAGAGTTCAGTGTTACAACCATACCCGGCCTCCCTATAACAAAACACAACATTTAACCAAACAACAAAACAAATCTATTAACATAAATCACAACAACCTGTATACATTACTGTATAATGTAACATATATATGTATTTATATAATATTCTTATCATTATACCCACATTGACATTCTTCTAATATGAATTCATAAGAAGGTTGTTGCATTTTTATTCATGTTAACTTTAGTAACTTTAATTTCCTAAAATAAAATTCCCCTGTTTGTTTTTAGGTAATAAGCAGAGTAGGAGCACATCAGCACTGACCTGAGACTGAGCTCTGAGGGTGAGCAGCACATCCTCTCTGTCAGCCTGCCCGACTCTGCTGCCTGTCCTGCAGGGGAACTTGTACAGCTCCATCTGGCACTGGACCAGAGACATCTCTCCACACAGATGCTTGTTGAAAGTGCTCACATTGGTTCCGGTTATCGCACACTCATAGTAGTTCCCGTTGAGCAGAGCCACAGCAATCCAGCTGGAAGGCGCTACCAGCGCAGTAATGCTTATCTGGAAGAGGGCCGTCCCGGTGGCGGTCAGCCTCCTCCAGCCACACAGCTTGGCCCTGTTCTGGCACAGACCTGTCAACGTCTTCCACGTCTTCTTACTCAGGATGTAACCCAGCAGCAGCAGAACTAGAGCAGGCACCAGCATGAACACCATGCCGTACAGGAAGTTCAGCTCATTGCAGGGACATCTGAACACCGCTGAGGAAAAGATCTGCTCCCCTCCTGCTGTCAGCATGGCAACCAAGCCGAAACCAAGGTTAGTCTGTTTGTTGGCAATATTCAGAACCGTCCTGAACTTATCCATCTCTGACTGCTGTAAAAGACTAGCAACCTGCTTTCACTTCCACGTCTATCGTCACCACTCAGCCTACCACTTCAGTTTCTGAGGGGAAACCACATGCAGTCACTTCAAGAGAGAAGACAAGTTTCAGCCGCCCCTCTGCCCCTATTCTCTTAATTTTTTTTACTAGTAGTTAAGTTTTACCCAGGGTGCAAATTATACAGTGACAACCGGGGGGGTCAACTTTTTTTCCAGGTCCAAAAGAACCCAGTACAGCACAGGCACGGGCTCAGTGAACTAAAATGCTTACAGTATCCTTGCTTATTTACAGTGGGTACGGAAAGTATTCAGACGCCTTTAAATTTTTCACTCTTTGTTTCATTGCAGCCATTTTCCAAAAATCAAAAAAGTTCATTTTATTTCTCAGTAATGTACACTCAGCACCCCTCTTGACAGAAAAAAACAGAAATGTAGAAATTTTTGCAAATTTATTAAAAAAGAAAAACTGAAATATCACATGATCATAAGTATTCAGACCCTTTGCTCAGTATTTAGTAGAAGCACCCTTTTGATCTAATACAGCCATGAGTCGTTTTGGGAAAGATGCAACAAGTTTTTCACATCTGGATTTGGGTATCCTCTGCCATTCCTCCTTGCAGATCCTCTCCAGTTCTGTCAGGTTGGATGGTAAACGTTGGTGGACAGCCATTTTCAGGTCTCTCCAGAGATGCTCAATTGGGTTTAAGTCAGGGCTCTGGCTGGGCCATTCAAGAACAGCCACGCAGTTGTTGTGAAGCCACTCCTTCGTTATTTTAGCGGTGTGCTTAGGGTCATTGTCTTGTTGGAAGGTAAACCTTCGGCCCAGTCTGAGGTCCAGAGCACTCTGGAAAAGGTTTTCGTCCAGGATCTCCCTGTACTTGGCCGCATTCATCTTTCCCTCGATTGCAACCAGTCGTCCTCTCCCTGCAGCTGAAAAACACCCCCACAGCATGATGCTGCCACCACCATGCTTCACTGTTGAGACTGTATTGGACAGGTGATGAGCAGTGCCTGGTGTTCTCCACACATACCGCTTAGAATTAAGGCCAAAAAGTTCTATCTTGGTCTCATCAGACCAGAGGATCTTATTTATCACCATCTTGGAGTCCTTCAGGTGTTTTTTAGCAAACTCCATGCGGGCTTTCATGTGTCTTGCACTGAGGAGAGGCTTCCGTCGGGCCACTCTGCCATAAAGCCCCGACTGGTGGATTGCTGCAGTGATGGTTGACTTACTACAACTTTCTCCCATCTCCCGACTGCATCTCTGGAGCTCAGCCACAGTGACCTTTGGGTTCTTCTTTACCTCTCTCACCAAGGCTCTTCTCCCCCGATAGCTCAGTTTGGCCGGACGGCCAGCTCTAGGAAGGGTTCTGGTCATCCCAAACGTCTTCCATTTGAGGATTATGGAGGCCACTGTGCTCTTAGGAACCTTAAGTGCAGCAGAAATTTTTTTGTAACCTTGGCCAGATCTGTGCCTTGCCACAATTCTGTCTCTGAGCTCTTCAGGCAGTTCCTTTGACCTCATGATTCTCATTTGCTCTGACATGCACTGTGAGCTGTAAGGTCTTATATAGACAGGTGTGTGGCTTTCCTAATCAAGTCCAATCAGTATAATCAAACACAGCTGGACTCAAATGAAGGCGTAGAACCATCTCAAGGATGATCAGAAGAAATAGACAGCACCTGAGTTAAATATGAGTGTCACGGCAAAGGGTCTGAATACTTATGACCATGTGATATTTCAGTTTTTCTTTTTTAATAAATTTGCAAAAATTTCTACATTTCTGTTTTTTTCTGTCAAGATGGGGTGCTGAGTGTACATTACTGAGAAATAAAATGAACTTTTTTGATTTTTGGAAAATGGCTGCAATGAAACAAAGAGTGAAAAATTTAAAGGGGTCTGAATACTTTCCGTACCCACTGTAACTAATGTCATCAGTCTGTATGATGATAAATCAAATTCATTACACCAGTTCATGGGTGCCCCATACCACACAACAACTTTTGTAGTCAGAGGTCACAAAGTATTCTAGATCGAAACTGCCCGCAAGTCAGACACACAACAGCAGACCATCATGACCGCTCAAAACAAACCCACACAGTGTTGATAACGAACTAAAGACACACAAAATACCGTCTGCATTATTATCTCTAATTCCTAATTTTTATCATTCTCATCAAGTTTAAAGTTTCATCTTACTTTTTTAGCAAATATCTCCTTTCCTCATGTTCATGATGTGAATGATGTAATCTGAATCCAATAAAGCAGTCATACACAGTTGTTGGGGAATTGGGAATTCCAGAGTTAAATTGTACACATAATATTAATATTGTACACATAGGCCTACAGTAGGATGGCAGAACTTGCCCTACCCATGTCTGTCCATCTGTCTGACTGTCTTTGACAGAGAAAGAGAGTAGGCTACCACTTCTGAATTGTGTTTTGTGTTGTAATTGTTTGTTGCACATTTTAATGCCTTGATGATTTGGAACTCCTAAAGTGCCAGAAGAATCAATAAATGCATAAAAGAACAAATCAATAAATGCAGAAATATATACAAGAAAGAATGAATGAATAAAAGAATAAATAAATAAATACAGAAATATAACAAAGAATGAATGAATAAAAGAATAAATAAATAAATACAGAAATATAACAAAGAATGAATGAATAAAAGAATAAATAAATGCAGAAATATAAGAAAGAAAGAATAAACGAATTAAAGAATAAATACATATATTTGTTTTTGCCTTTTCCTTACAAAACCTATTGTCATTGCCATTCCCTTAAGAGACTTATTGTCATAGCCTTTCCTTTGTGAGCCCAACCTGTCAATCAATGGGTTTTGGTCCGCCCACTAAGTCCAACCAATCACTCAAAAGTGTTCGCTTTAGTGATGGGAAATGAGTCTTTTGAAAGTCTCGAATCTTCAAATCTCGTCCCTTAAAATGAACTAATTTTTTCGAGTCATTTTATTCATTTTGTTCATTTGAACTAGGCTGGTTATTGCGGTGCTGCAGCCCTCTAGTGGGTGATGTCTAAAACAGTGCAGTTCTCAAACACAGAAGACTGCCTGGTTTGCTCTAATTGACCAATAATGCACAAATTCACCTCTTGATCGTCTATCATCCTCCTATAAAGCCCCATGGGGTCACAACCTAATTCAAACCATGTAAAAACCACAGAAATATGTTGTCAATATTAAATCGCCACTACTCCGGCTAAATCATTCCAGTTACACAATCTTTCCTGAGCATACATACAGACCAGTATATTGCACAATATATAATTATAATTACTATCATTATATCTCTGAAGTGCCTGCGATGGACTGGCGACCTGTCCAGGGAATACTCCGCCTTTCACCCGATGTCAACTGGGATTGGCTCCAACACACCACAGGGCTAATGCTAATGCTACTATGTGGCTGTGTTTTAATGTTTTAATGACCAGGTCCATTTGTTTTGGAGAGGAGACTACTTCAGAGGTAATTCGGCTCCTGGTAGAACCCTACCAGTGCACTGAAGTGGAGCAGACCCAGAACAACTCTCATCAGCTTTTAGCTGTAAACACTAGCAGGACTAAAGTTACGGAACAGCTGTGTTAAAACTATAGCACAACATCAGTCTGCTGTAATAACTTTATGCTTTATTAAATGCATAGACTGTATATAAAAAGATTAAATGTTACATTTCAAAATAGCTATATAATGTCAGTCCAGTTACCTGACAACCACGGATTCTATGAGTATAGGTACAGCCCTCTAAGGCTATCGTTATTGGGTTCACAACTTCACGTGCCTGCGCGGCACTGAGAATTTTAGTCTTCGTCCACCCAACAGCGTGGGCCTCTCCTACGTCCGCACCTTGTATATATGTACACACACACACACACACAGACACACACACACACACACACGTGAGACCCAGCTTTCGGCTCCCAAATGCCTTTTCTTCAGCACTGAGAACCAAGGTCCAGTGAGGCCCTCAACTTAGAGGCTGCGCCAAATAACAGATAATCAACCAGTAAAGCAAATTGCATTCCCTAGAAATAACCTGTTGACCAGCCACTGTTTCTAACCTGATGCACAGCAGATGAAATATTAAATATATTAATCTTTTTTTTTAAAGTTTTATGGGTTTATGTTAAGATTGATGATGAAATGGCTTATTTATTTATTGTATTCAAGGGCTCAGCTGAGTTGATTTCTGTACTTTAGGAGAGAAAGACTCTAGTTTTGAAAATGTATTTTAAAGGTTAATTTAGTGATGAACTCTATTTGCATAAAATTCTCAAGAATGCAGGAATAAAGGTCTCTAAAGACCCAGAGGCCCCTACAAATACTTTGTCTAGAGAGTGGACCGACCAGGGACAAACTCATGGGCCACTTTTTTGCCTCTGTCCGTGACCATCCTTGACCTTTAAAAACTTGCGTCCTGAGGTGTGTATGTGTCTCTGCTACGTGTCCATAAACAATTTGAAAGTAGTCAAAATGTTCCCACAGAGACGAGCATCCTACATTTTTAAAAGGAAGATGACAGAGGTCACAGGAGGAAAAGCAGAAAAAACTGAGGAGGATGAGCTTGTAAGTTGTATGGATAGCTAGTAGACATAGTAAATTCTAAAACTCACATAGTAAAAACCCTTTGTTAGACCAATGGCATGTCATCAGAGTTTGCACTGAATACAGTTCTGTGTTCAAACATTTGTTGCAGGGAGAGTCAGGGCCAAATGAGACACAGGAAATATCACAGACAGCTTACAAGTGGAACGTTAGGATAACTAAATACATTTGTACTGTACCTAGCAACATTATCTAGCGGCTGTTCCATGGTTTTTAGACGGCTCAGACTTGACGGCGGGCCAATACACATTGACAGGTTGGGCTCGCAAAGGAAAGGCAATGACAATTGTAGTGACGTACTGCGGTAAGTGTGTCGGCTCATTTCTGTTTCCGGTGCCTGTGTGTTGGTACCGTGTTGTGCTGTTCTCGCTAAATAACAGTTACATTTGTTAGATTACAGCAGCCAACTGTCCGCTAAACACTTATTCTTTACAGTAATTTTGCC